CCTACCCTATCTCAAACGGTTCAGTGAATTATTGCCAATCAAACATTTGTATTTTCACATTTTCATACACTGTACAACATAAAGGACACATTCATTTGGGCCGTGCACAAATTGGGTATCAAAAGACTGATGTGTATTAAAGACTGTAATGTATCGAGTTAAACAAGGTTAAAGTATTATGTATATCATATATTTATCCTCACGCGTATTCCGACAAGCGTACAGGGGGGTCCCCCACCCCCGCCTTTTTTAAAAGACTTTTTGAAGTTAGGAGTAAAATGTTTACCAGTTTCATTAATATTCTTGCTACATTTGCGAAAGTGGCCTCCAGAGGCAACTTCTATAGGAAGAAATATGACTGAGTATTCGTTGGTCTGCATGTTGAAAAAACTAGTGAGGTATTTTTTTATTTGATTTATATTCAGGCATTTTGGGTAAGTTCGAGTCGAAAGGAATTGACAATTTAAGTATAAGAAGTTTCTTTTAAGTTTTTCCAAAAGACACAGATGTCTGCAATTAGGTTAGCTTGGGTGCACTTAATGGGAACAGTGGAAATAATTTCCTTTATCCATCGATCAAGAGTCAAGTCTGTATACATAATAGCAGTTTGTCCCTCTGGGAAGCGATACCTTTTTGAGTAGTTTTAGCAAGATACTATAGTATGTTGTCATGTCACCAGGTAAAACATCCCTCTTTGAGAGATTTACTGTCAACAAGTTCCATGTGAAGGAATCGCTTTTTTTTTCTTTCTTTCTTTCTTTTTTTCTTTTTTTAACCAGAATTTAATTGAAACTAATTTATTTTCTACTGCAAAACATATAAATCAAAATTACATTTCAACGATACAACATATACAAAATATAACAATTTCGGGGAACGTATATATATATATATATATACACAATATAATCATAATAGAAATGTTGGCATTAAAACAAAATATAATCGCACTATCAAGAATTATTCGATAATAAATCTGCAGAAGAAGAAGGGCTATCACAACAATCGTTTGCTTGATAATGTGATAGCCCGCGGGCGGGGTGGATATTTTAAAGAATTTTAGAAAATTATGGTGATGATTATGATGAAGGTGATGATGTTGATGATAATGATGATGAGAATGAAAAAGAAAATATGTTGATGTCAATATGTCCGACACAGAAAATGTTTAGTTTACAAGAATTATGAAATAAAGTGATGTTTTATACCGAAAGCCCAAAAATGAAAAAGTTAAATTCCAACGGCATTTGAGATTACTTGTAGAGATAATCCCGATGGCAGCTATCATACAGCTAAACTGGGATGTCCGTGCAACGTGCTGGCATAGTGACAGTGCATGAAGTAATATGAGATAATACTAATTTAGAACTTCCCTAAAAAAAGGGGGGCTTGAAAATAACGACCATTATTTGAAGAGTTTCATTCCAAAAGGAGCTAAATCCACTTTGGGTACTTCTGAGTAAATCGACTTTTTTTTTATTTCTCCACTTTCCCTTTAGCCATGTACCTTAATGTTGTTATATATGTTAAAGGTGTCACCCTGGACCAATAATATATGATAAGAAAAAAATCTACCACTTTTTCCTGATTTTTAATAAATTTTTAGATTTTTTTTTCTCGTGGATTTAGCTCCTTTTGGAATGAAACATGATATTGTATCTGAAAAATTTCATATTTTCTCAATAAAGTCACTGAAATTTATTCAAATTTAGTAGCAACCCTTTCCTTTTAAATAATAATAGTGAAATCACAACTAAAAAAAACCTTTGAAAAGAAAGTAAACAACATATCACAATTTTCATTCCAAAAGGAGCTAAATCCATTTTTCATTCAAAAAGGAGCTAAATCCACAAAATCTAAAAAAATAAGTAAAAATCAGAAATAACTGGTAGATTTTTTTCTTATCATAATTGGTCCAGGGTGACACGTTTAACATAAATAACAACATGAAGGTACATGGCTAAAGGGAAAGTGGAGAAATAAAAAGGGGGATTTACTCAGAAGTACCCAAAGTGGATTAAGCTCCTTTTGGAATGAAACCGATTTGGATTTAGCTCCTTTTGGAATGAAACATGATATTTTATATAAATATTTTCATACTTCCTGATGAAATTTTTGAATGTTATATAGTGCATTTTGCCCCCATGTAGGAAATCAGTATTTTAAAACAATTAACTCGATTTTGATAAAATAAGGATTTAGCTCCTTTTGGAATCAAGCTCTTCATTTGTCGAATCGACTTAAGTGCTACCAAGTCAATAAGTAATAGTCTGATTTTGAGACCATTGTACCGAATGGTCGTACGTATTGTGCTGCGCAAGGATTCAATTCAGTTTAATTTTGGTCATTACAAGAATTGGGTTATTGACAAATGTTCATGTACCCTGTACAGCTCATTTCATGTATGTTATTACCAAAGAAGAAATAAAGGCAGTCAGTCACTCAATAGTGACAGTGAAGTCTAGCAAGTAAACGGGTTTTCTTGCATAATTTGAATATTAGGACACTGCTAACGTTTAAATTTCACAAATAGGGCATACATGACATATTCATAATTCCTGCAAAGTTCTTCAGGATTTGATGTTGGCTGCAAAAGGGACATAGTATCTTTAAAGGTATATAATATTGATACAATCGAAGAGATACTGCTGATGCCAAACGTAGATATTGCAAATATAGAGTAAACATAAATGTGATAAATACAAATGTCTCATTTCCAGTTTCAGTTAGAGTACTATGAAAGTAATCAAAATTCTTTTGGATAACACTACACAAATGCGCAACAATTAATAAAAGTTAATAATGAGATATTTTATATTATATTTGCATAACCGTAGTTACAGGGAGGGCATGCTGTAATCATGTGGGAGCTTGATAAAAAAAAAAATTAAAAGCTTGTATATCATAAGACCCCGCCTCCCCTACAGGCTATTGCACTATACTACAAAGCAGAAAACACGAGTAAAGGCGTAAAGTGGATAAAAAAAAATATATATATTAACGGAGAGAGAGAGAGACAGACGGAGGGAGGGAGAAACAGCGAACGAGAGAGAGAGAGAGAGAGAGAGAGAGAGAGATGAGATGAACGATGGGAAGTATACATTGCGTATTAACATAGAATGCATTAATTGTATTCTAATTTAATTTCGATTTTGAATATAGGTGATTGCTATTTTAAAGTAATACACCTTTTAGCAGGTAACATTTTCAGGGTGCTGTTTAATAAAAGTAATTCTCAAGTTGACTTTTTCAATTTTTAAATGAACCATACAGACTTTATGGCAAACAAATAGTCCTTGCAACTCCATTTGAAGGAAAAAAACAACGAGGGGTTGTTTTCTGTTCCATGGCAGGGTGAAAATCAAGAAAGGGGGCGTAGAATTTGTTTTCCAAACAACTGTGGAAGAAGACAATACGACCCCTTTAAACCACACCTTCCCCTCATGGCCATATGACCCCAATGACCTAGTTTTATTTACGTTTCATCCAACAACCGGAGTGCTTCCCCCTCCCCCATCTCTCATGACACTAGCCTCATATACTGCCCTCTTTGTTGCATTTGTGTTGGTGGCATGTACAATTATATACACATATATAAGTAGTTGGTTATTGAGATCAACAGTATGATGTGCATATCATAGATATTATTCAAAAACTCATTACCGCCCTCTGTGTTAAATCTGTCTTAAAATGTATAACAGTTTGCTGAAGATTCTAAGAGAACATTCTTTGGTCTGATCTGGCCGCATCAGTTTGCGACAAACCACTAAAGCTCCTGACCTTGTCAAATCCAATCACTGTGGACTTATATTTCTGGTAAGATTGATAAATCGATTTTATTTATTCTACTTTATTCTATTCCTGTTTGATTCTCTTTTGTTCTTCGTCATGTTAACCCTTTATTTGCGTCCACGGTCTCAATTCTCCCTACGGCTTATCTGAATTCATAACAGCCATTCCTCTCAAAGCATCACACTGAACCATCAAGCTCCCTAGATGCTACCTACACTTGGTGACAGAGCCTTCACAACTGCTGCTCCCAAACTGTGGAATAACCTACCCATATCTCTTTGTAACCAACAGTCTGTCAATACCTTCATAAATAATCTAAAAACTTACCTCTTTTGTTAACAACAATATAACTGTAAAGAGCTTTTGAACACGAATATGAGAAATGCGCTATAATAATCGTTATCATCATTTACTAGTTTAAAACATGTAAATATTAAAATTTAAAATTTAATCAAACGGGACGAGCTCTAAATACAAAGACATTATTATTAAGTATTTAGCCTCGCCTGTATAGCGCTTTGAGAGGGCCTTCCGTCCTGAAAAGCGCTGTATAAGATCTAGCTATTATTATTATTATTGTGCCTTTCGAAAATAACGATAGACAAAAAAAGTGGAATATATAATCAGACTCTTAGAAATAGGCCTGTGGTTTGATTGGTTTTTCGAATTTGGCCTTAATTTTATATAAAAGGTATTAAAGAAATATAGGCGTTTGAGTGCTAGTGACCGACAACGATGTTTTTAGTACTTTATATGTACTTATAACATATTTAACCGACGCTTCAAGTCTTGGATATGTTTTCTCTTTTCATGCTAATAATCATTATAATAATAAAAAATAATAGCTCACATTATTTTAATATGCATCTAACACTTTGTTTCTAGGCGCAGCACTTATTATTAACCAGGTCATCGGATTCAGGCCTAACCGCAACACAATGTATGCACATTTTCCACTCCCTGTGGAGCATTCCAGCCAGTCTTCATTTAACAACCACATTAACTTTCGCATCCTACCGGGTACCAATTTAACACCTGAGTGGAGAGTGGCAAATGTAGATCAACGTCTTGCCAAATCACATTAGTGTCGTGGCGGGACTTGAGCCGCGGACCTTGTGATCCACAGGCCGGTGACGTATCCGAACTTTAATCACTTTCCCCAAAAACGTCAAAAAATGATTCCATGTTCTATTTTTCTTGTAGGAATCCTACATGACTGTCAACAGCTTGACGATGAATCCGCGAGAAACAAGCAGATGGTTGATAGCGCTAACCGTGGTAAGTCGTAGACTGTTCTTAGTTTTATCTTGACCTTACTCCTACGATGAATCCGCGACCGCTAACAGAAACAAGCAGATGGTTGATAGCGCTAACCGTGGTAAGTCGTAGGCTGTTCTTAGTTTTATCTTGATCTTACTCCTACGATGAATTCGCGACCGCTAACGGAAACAAGCAGATGGTTGATATCGCTAACCGTGGTAAGTCGTAGACTGTTCGTAGTTTTATCTTGATCTTACTCTTACGATGAATCCGCGACCGCTAACAGAAACAAGCAGATGGTTGATAGCGCTAACCGTGGTAAGTCGTAGACTGTTCGTAGTTTTATCTTAATCTTACTCCTACGACGAATCAGCAGATGGTTGATAGCGCTAACCGTGGTAAGTCCTAGACTATTCGTAGTTTTATCTTGACCTCACTCTTACGATGAATCCGTGACCGATAATAGAAACAAGCAGATGGTTGATAGCGCTAACCGTGGTAATTCCTAGACTATTCGTAGTTTTATCTTGATCTTACTCCTACGATGAATCCGCGACCGATAATAGAAACAAGCAGATGGTTGATAGCGCTAACCGTGGTAAGTCGTAGACTGTTCGTAGTTTTATCTTGATCTTACTCTTACGATGAATCCGCGACCGCTAACAGAAACAAGCAGATGGTTGATAGCGCTAACCGTGGTAAGTCGTAGACTGTTCGTAGTTTTATCTTAATCTTACTCCTACGACGAATCAGCAGATGGTTGATAGCGCTAACCGTGGTAAGTCCTAGACTATTCGTAGTTTTATCTTGACCTCACTCTTACGATGAATCCGTGACCGATAATAGAAACAAGCAGATGGTTGATAGCGCTAACCGTGGTAAGTCCTAGACTATTCGTAGTTTTATCTTGATCTTACTCCTACGATGAATCCGCGACCGATAATAGAAACAAGCAGATGGTTGATAGCGCTAACCGTGGTAAGTCGTATACTGTTCGTAGTTTTATCTTGATCTTACTCATACGATGAATCCGCGACCGCTAACAGAAACCAGCAAATGGTTAAAAGCGCTAACCGTGGTAAGTCGTAGACTGTTAGTAGTTTTATTATATCATTATTATTTGTAAATATATATTTGATGTTTGTCTATTCATATCCTTATTGTTAGCAACAATATATTTAATTCAAACCTATTCATATCGTTATTATTAGCAACAATATATAGCAACGGTTGAACACAGGCAAATGTTGTTAATAGCAAGAACAATATAATAGTACGAGTGAGAATGGTAACAATTATGCGCTCATCAAACTTATTCAGGCAAAGTGTACACCTTTCCAACTCCTTTAGCACATTGCATTGAGGATGTACTTGAAGTATCCACACAAAAAATTCTTCACATAATCAGAAATTTGCTCCTGTGGCAATTGTAGTGTCCCGGACTTTATTTTATCAAAGGTTTACCATTGGCTTATAGTTCAGTTTTTTTATTTTTTATAAAAGATTTAGGGAAATATGGTTAGTTTATTGTATGTCTACTGTCGGAAGGCAAGAATACGTTTGGTGTGAAAAAAAATTGACGCAAGGGTCGTCAGAAGGGTTGTAGTTTAGATTTATTCTTAATTTATTAACCCCCCCCCCCCCCTCCCTCCGAAAAAAAAATAAAAGAGTCTTCATTGTAAAGGGTGCATAAAGAAAGTTAATGATATATTTTTATTTGGCAAACGAGTGTCATTTTTGCCACGTCTATTATTGCTGTGCCATAGCTTTATAAATGTTTAACTGTTCTGTATAAACGTCATGCTTTTTGATATAAATATGTTCATGTTGTTTATTCAGGGCCCCATGGAAGACCGCTACTTATTGGTGAATGGGCTTCCCTGACAACAGATAAGAAATAAATAAATTAATTAATTAATTAATTAATTAATTAATTAATTAATTAATAAATAAATAAATAAATAAATAAATAAATAAATAAAATAATAAATGCAAGAACTCCGAAGCCCAGATGACCCCCAAAACCCCCTCAAAATGAAGAGCCGCGTTTAAGTATTTTATGACCAATTTCCATTGCCACAGATGGTGGGAATCACCAACGGTCAATCTGTGAACCTTGTTGGGCCATCTGGGGTGCAACAAGGGGATGATGCGGTCTTCATCTGTACCACATCAGGTTTAAGCTCACCCACCATCCTGTGGCGCGACGGAGCTACGATCGTCTTCCTCGGGCCGAACTTTTCAGTCGGGAAGCCAAACACAGCAACTTTAAAGTGTCCTCCGATGCCGTTTCCTCCAACCTGACTATACAGGGAGCAGCATTTGAAGATGATGGATCCTACAGCTGTAGTGCGGCGGGTCTCGATAGCGACACGATTGATCTCAAAGTGGAAGGTAAGTCCTCGGTCACAAATGCCCTTACGAACTGCTACGAACGCCGTGCGAACGATTTTCAGACAATGGAAATTCGGGAACACAATGAAAAAAACAGGGAGATTCGTACGAGATTATCGTTCGTACTAATCTTTGTGACCGTGGCATAAGGAAAAAATATGGATGTGTCGTGGTCTAGTGGTTAGGCAATGAAGTACATAGTTCGGGGTTCGAATACCTACCATTGCTACTAATGTAGGAGGAAAGGAGATAAGGAGGATGTAGTGTATTAGGGCTCATCAGTGTCAAGATTGATCTTGTTGTTCAAGGTATGAAAACATCTGAAGGTGTCCTGGTCAAGTGGGTAAGTTAGTATTAGATGTGTTATCACAGTATTTAACTAGTGATGGAGCCACCCTACTAAAAAAAGACTAATAAATAAATAAATAAATAAATCACAATCATAATCATCATTATCACTATTTATATGGCACCTCGTTAATTTACTTTTTGATTAATTTCTCGGTTTTGTCTGCTGTGGATTTTTAAAATCTACCACAGTGAAATCAAATGTGTCGCTGGCGGTGATTACTACGACGATCAACAATACAATTGTGTACCAAGCAGCTTGCGAGGCTATCGGCGCTAGACCAGAGGAAAACGTAACCTGGACCTTAGGAAATATCACCCAGACTTTAGGCATAGTGGAAACGGACCCCGATGTTTCCCATCACACCCTGTGGGACAAAAGAAGCGTGTTCACCTTCCCTGCAAACAAGGAGAACTACAACCAGATGTTGACATGCCAAGTCAACGGTCATGAGGTTTCTGAACTCAACTGGCAGAAGTCAATCCAACTGAATTTCCATGGTTAGTTAAATGTAATTTTTAGTTATCATTTTTTAATTGTTTTTCGAACGGCATTGACGGGTAAGCTATTATCATTTGAAGAAGGGTTTTGGTAGGAAATGAATCTCACCTTCGGCAGAATTCAATTAATTGCAGTATTTCTAATTTCTGCAATTTTGCTAATCCTCAGTCTTATTCACCGATCCGCCCACTGATATGCACTGATATGATAAAAAACATCAATTCGGAGAATTAATTATTGAGGCTTGTGAGATTTTAAATTCATTCTCATTCGAAGAAATACTCGGTATAGACATGACATAACTAAGCTATATTTTGTTGTTCCATTAGTAGGCCTTGTAAAGTGTTTTGTATGTGATGTTGTTGTCATCGTCGTCTTTGTTGTTACAAATATTTAAAACAATGGTCGTTCATACCGATTACGATCGCGAAGACTCTCAAGAAACCAAATCAAGGGCTATATCAATACCCTATTATATTGCTGTTTTTTTAATTAATAATTAATCATTGATTTATTGAATGCCATATCATCTTTTCAAACATACATGTCAGGATTATGTAAGGCCTAATGTGTGCCCATTTCAAGAGAATATGAAAAGGCTATTGAAATTGTCCTAAGTTGATTTTGATGGTCTTTGCGAACTTGTTACGGACCAAAAGTGAAAAAGTGAATATTTAGTAACCCTAAATTAGCGATATATTGAGCCAATCTGTGAAATAATTTAAAAGAAGCTAATTTCAACTGATTTGGGTAGGTATGGGTATGGACAACTACCAAAAAAAGAGGAAGGAGGGATGGGGGTTAGGGAGATTTTTTTTATTAGAGGTCAAAGGTCATTGACCCCCGTGATTATACCTCTTTCATTGTTGTATTCAGAACCCCCTTCCCCTGATAACATCATGACCACCTTCATCATCGCGGACTCAAGCCTAACCGTGTCATGTGACCTTGATGCCTCAAAAGGTCAACCGTGTCCGGCCATCACGAACTATTACATCTTTTCCAATGGCGTACTCATACATGAATCTACACAAGGGGAGAATACTGTCAGTGTCTCCTTACCCAACGTGGTTGTGGAATTTACGTGTATGGCGGGAAATGTGTTTGGAAACGCTACGGATGCGATAACCTATGAACCTGGTGAGTTTATGTCATCTTTACAATGATATATCTCCCTTACTGTTATTCTATTTATTTATCTATTAATGCATATATTTAATACTTCATTATATATTCATTCATTTATTAATTCCTTTTCAATGATGATGGTGATGCGTGAGTGCGTGTATGTGCGTGTGAACCTGGTGAGTTAATGTCAATCTTTAAAATGATATATCTCCCTACCGTTATTCTTTTTATTTATCTATTAATGCATATATTTAATACTTCATTCCTTCATATTTATTTTTTCATTCATTTATTTATTCCTTTTCTGATAACGAATTGTTAGAAGGTAGAAACAAATTAAGACAAATAAAATGAATGCCAAGGATAATAGTGATAAGCTTTTTCCGCAATTTATAGTGATGATGATGATGGTGATGCGTGTTTGTGCGTGTTTGTGCGTGTGTTTGTGTGCGTGTGTGTGTTTGTGTGCGAGTGCGTGTGTATGTGTGTAACTTGGGTTTTAACAGACGTGAATCAATTATATATAATTATTTACTTCTGGGGACCGAACTTTAACTTCGCCCTTCGAAAGACGTGGCTCAGTCTCGAACCCAGATCCGCTGATATGAGTCAGTTTGTAGGCGAAGACAGGGAGCTGACCGTACCATGGACATTACCACTAAACCAAATCACATTTCCCCACATCTCTGTGATGAATATTAAAGTGACTCGGTAAAATTGTTGAAGATTGATTACAAAATTGCGTAATTTTTGTATGAAATGTTACTTATTATCTTCCTTTTAATTTACTAACCCTCTAACATGCAAAATATCCTGAAAAAATTCTCAAATCACAAAGATATTAATGGTTTTCTAAGATGGCGTCACTGTGCAACACCCTCTAACAGTGATTAACAGTAAATTCTCGCAACCGTTTTTCCATCAAAATAAGACAAAAGACAGGCTTTTAAAATAATCTGTCAACACTTAAATGTCTAGAATGGTATGTAGAGCCGATTCATTACTTTGTGACGATTTACATGTACCTAAAATGTAATTAAATCGTAATAATATAGTTGGGAGAATTAAGGTATCGATTAGATCAGTTTTTCCCAATTTGTATCGTTAATAATGGTCTGTTTTCACTCAAACTTTCAGATTATCTTTAATTGTACATCTAGTATTAAAGTCACTACCATAGCACCGTTTTCTCTCATGTGTACATTGTTACAAAGTCCCTTTAATAGTATTCATATTGCGCCATATATCTCTTTAGAAACATTCACATAAAGCCTTTTACGTCTTCTTCCTTTTCATCCATCAGCTGGAGATTTCTTGGATGAGATTATGGATTTTATGGACGGTATGTCGTCATCTCTTTTTCTTTCCTTACTTCCTCAAACACGATCGCAAAGTCTTTCGAGAAATAAATTCTCGGCAAGGACAATTTCAATGAAACTGATCGTACTGCTTAGCTGTAAAGGAATTGTTTTGGGGGAAATGTATCATTATCATTTTCATATTTGCATATTTCGGAATTGATGCATGGCTAGTGAAATTAATAATAATAATAACAATAATAATATTTAGCTTTTATAAAGCGCTTAATACAAATGTCTCTAAGCGCTTTACAAATATATTACTGTCCTAGCTTGGTTTCTTGAAAGTCGTTGCGATCGTGTAATGAATGTTTGCAGAAAATATAAATCGTTTAATGTTTTATTCGATCAATTAACCAGGTCTCTTGAATTATTTAATCATTGGTTAATTTGCCCTAATAAAGTAGCGAAGTAGGACGTCATACTGGTCAAGTTGTCAAGGTTGCTGGTTCCAAACAAACTTGCGCTAAACAGTCCCAGACACTGAATTTGCCCTGTTCCAGCCCGTTGCTCGCGGTGAACCTCAAGCACAGGCTCTGTTGTTTAGAACCAGTTACACCTGGACGACGAGCAAATATGACATTTTTAGCACTTCGGTAGGCCTACTCTTTACTACATGTAATTATCGGGGGGGGGGGGGTTGTGAAGCGCTTTGTAACTGCAAGGAAAAGGCGTTTCATAAAATACTCTGTAAATTAGATTGCATTGGATGTACAAAGAAATCATTGTCCATATTTTTAGATCAAACTTTTCCTGAAGGCAGTGGTCAATTGGTATGTTTACTTTAAACTCTTCCACTGAAATCAAGAGGAAATGATTTCACAATACCCTCGGATTCTAAGTACGATTTATAGATAAGTACTTCAAGTCTTTCAAATTCCTAAATCCGCCTTTTCTTAAGATTTATTGTAAATGTTTTTAAAATTGTTGTTAAAGGTTTCCTTGATAATCCTAGATATCATGTAACAATTATTTTGTTTTGTCATATCAACTATATAGCCCGATACATATAAACAAAGTTGTATCATTCGAAAAGTCCGACTACGCTATTAAGCCACTAAGATCATTGAAAGAAGGCTGGAAAAGGTTGTTATAATTACGAATATCTTGCCTCATCGGTCTAACTTTAAGTACTCAATTAATTAGTTTATTAATCTATTACCTAATATATTGACCTACTCATACTGCTACTACAGTGCTACTACTACTGCTGCTGCTACTACTGTTACTACTACTACTACTACTTCTACTACTACTACATCATCATCATCAACAAAATTAGAAATACAGACATCATTGATATTGTAAACTTTTGGAAAACGTTCAAAGACTTTCTATAAACAAACTTATTTATATTTTTTATTAAAGGATTGCCGATGGCTTCGTTCCTGGGTATCATAATAGTCATTACGATCGTCATGCTCCTATCTATCATCATAAACATCGCTCAATGGTACACGAAATAGATTACATAATTAATTGTATTTTAGAACCATCTTATTAAAGGTTAGTACTAAATAAGGATTCTGCATTGCTATTATTATCTTTTGTTTGATTACCCTTTTCAGTTATCACAGGAACGCTCATAAATCTTAAATAACAGATTACAGAACTTTGCCGTCTTTCGTTTTTTGGGCCGTTTTTAAATAGGCCGCCATTTTTTTCTTAATGTGACCTTTAAGATGTCTAATGATCAATGCAGCAACAACATATTTTGTCTGTGTAAACGTCGGAGATTGTTTCTGTCGAGAAAGACTATAAGAGAGCAACAAAACGTTTCCACCATAAAGCATAATAAAAATGATAACCTTGTAATATTCTTTTACAAACTACAAGTTCCAATTTCATAATAATCTCTCTCTCCCTCCCTTTCTCTCCCCCTGCTCTCAATCTCTCTCTCTCTCTCTCTCCCTCTCATCTCTTTCTCTCCCTCTTTTTTTCTCTCTCTCTCCGTCTATTTCTCCCTCTCTCTCCCTCTCATCTATCTCGCTTCCCCTCTATCCCTCTCCCTCTCTCTCTCTCTCCCTCTCTCATCTAATTCTCTCTCATACACACACACACACCTCTCTCTCTCCCTCTCATCTCTCTCGCTTCCCCTCTTTCCCTCCCCCATGCTCTCTCTCTCTATCTCTCCCTCTCCCTCTCTCATCTAATTCTCTCTCACACACACACTCACACACACACACCCCCTCCCCCCTCTCTCTCTCTCTCTCTCTCTCTCTAATCTCTCTTTCTCTCTGTCTTTGCTAACATAATGGACTATCTATACATTTCTATCACGATGCATGTCTAATGAATGTAAAGAATGATGTTATACGAATTTATTATGGATGCTACACAATATGTTTAAAATATGTGCCATTTGTTGAGGTTTTCATGATGTAATTAGATTAGTGATAAACTTTGCTTTTAAATGCCTGTTTTTAAGCTATTTGGTATATTATGTGTAACCTTTTATATGTTTTAAGACAAGAATATTAATATTTATCAATGATAAAATACAATAC